GGTCACTGGGGAGAGAGGTGGGAGATGTGGGAGTGAAGTGAGAAGGACTGGGAATGGACTGAGAGGGCCTGGGAGTGGAATCCGAGGGTCTCTGAAGGACTGGGAGGGACTGGGAACACACTGGGATGGACTGGGAAGGGCCCGAGCGGGACTGGGAGGCTGAGTCCCGGAGAGAGAACTCTGCGCTGCGGGTCTGCCCGGCAACTGATGAGTCATCAGAGAGACGCGCTCTGATTGGCTGAGGGCAGGGAGAGCGGTGGCCCCAGCGGGGTGTGAGAAGCGGGGGGGGGCACTGGGAGAGACTGGAATGGACTGGGGGCACTGGAAAAAACTAGGATGGATCGGAATGGAATGGGGAGCACTGGGAGAGAGGGAATGGACTGGGATGGACTGGGGGGCACTGGGAGAGGGCAAAAGGCCACAGGGATGGGCACAGGGAGGGCTGAGGGGTCTGGAGTGATTCCCAGGGGGGATTTGAGGGGCTCCAGGGTCGTTCCCGGGGCAGGGGAATTCCCGAGGGGACCCGCTCTGTCCCGCGCTCACCTCTGCGGTTCACGGTGAACGGGGTGACGATTGGGTAGTTGTGCCGGCAGAACGTGTCCACCACAGACCGTGTGTACTCCATGACTTCCTCTCGGCTGTTGAAGTCCCTGGCCACCTCCTCCCCAACCGGGGTGTCCCCCACATAGACCCCCACATCGCTGTCGAAGTGCACGTACTGCTGCCGGTTGTAGATGAGCCTGTCCACGAGCCTCACCCGCTCGGTGCCGTTGATGAAGTGACACTCGGACTTATACATCTCCTGGAACACCCCTGTGTGTGCAGGACACGGGTCAGGGGGTGCCCCTTTCCCCCCCCATCATCATCCCCAGCCCCCCACAGCAGGTCGGGAGCTCAGGGGGTCACCCCGGACCCCTCTTTCCCACCCCCCTCTGCCCCACGGCCCCCGCAGCACCGGCTCTTGGCTGGGGGGGAACCCCCCCATCAGCACCCCGGGGATGGACAGGGGGTTGGGGACTCCCCAGGGCGGATCCCACCCCACCCCCAGAGCCCCAGGGAACCGCTGCAGGGCTGCAGTGATGGGGGACACCGAGGGACCCCC